TGATGATGATGATGATGATGATGATGATGATGATGATGATGATGATGTGTATCAAAAGTGATGTTCCCCCAAAACAACCCAAAGTCTCTTGATCTCTTAATTCAATTAGACATGTCTGAAATGGATCTGAATGTGATTTTCAGTTGTCAAGTTGGGATATTGATATGATATATCGGCTTCCCGGGCGGTTTCGCTTCGCTTTCACGCCGCTGCACCGACTCCGACCTCTTCCGCTCCGCTGCGGGTCGGTTGACGGAGGCCATGACGAAGATGTTGGACTTCATCGAGCTGGAGAATCATCGTCCGATGGAACTGTGGCTCCAGGAGACCCCCGAATTCCCGGCCGAGGTCGGAGGAGTCGGAGTCCAGCCCGGAGAAGCGGAGAAGCGGAACCCCCAAGTTACGGACGTCCGGTGGTGGGTCGTAAACGAACGACGAGTCGAGGGGGGGGACGTCCGCAGATTTTGGTAGCAGATTTATAGCTAGCTTGGGCCCGGTGGTTCAAAAGGGGTCAATGTATGCAAATATGCCATACATGGATGGTCTGGAATATATTACTTTTTGGGGGAGAGGGCAGACTCTCTAGTCATTTAAGGCGTCTTGGGCGTCACAGAACGACGTCCAAGTCTTTTTCCGCACCTAATTTTACAGGGAGAAGAGGTCTCAGTGATGTTTGGAGGCTTCGGTGGCCACAATGCCTTCCAGAGATTTCCGGAGCCTGAGAAAGTGTGTTCTACTCCAGTTCGGCCAGGGGTGTTGACCTGGCCGCAGAGCAGAAGGAATACCCAGGACCGGATGTGCTTCCGTTCACGGATGTTCCCGGTCCTACCATGGACTTGGATATCACCCAGGACCCACCTTCCATGACCCAGGACCCATCTCCGATATCAGGACCTGGTGCGGAAGGGCTTCAGTGCCATGCCAGCTTGGCCTCACGGGCAGACCCCATTGCGACTTGGACGGTGCGTCTCCTTCCTTCTCCTACCACCCAGACACGACCTGTCTGGGACTGGAAGTCGACCAACCACCCCAAGTGATTCGCGGCGCCATCGCACGAGGCACGACTGCGGTGGGTGACGCAGTCGTTTTCATCATCGTGGAACCAGAACGCCAGTCTCCCATTCCCTCAAAAAGAAGTGATACATAATTGAGACTTCTATTGATAAGGGATGAAAAGGGTGAACCCCCGAGTAAAGAGTTTGATAGTTTATCCTCCTTTACCCGTTTTGGGCGGGCCATCCCCCAGGCACTACTTCGCCCAGTTCATGGAGGATGAAAGGCGCCGTTCTTGTCCGTCCCGATTGCCCTTGAAACAGGGAACTGCTCCGAGCGAACCAAGGAGTTGCCGTTTCACCACTTGCTATATATCCCCACCTCCAAGTACCTCCTCAGTCAGAAGGTATTTAGACCCTCCAAACCCACCCCGAACACCTTCTCAGAAGGTACTTAACTATATCTCTCACTGCTCCGAGACCGCCAGCGGGGGTTGAGCCAGCTGGTTCATTTGCTTTCAATCGGTTTCATCCACCGATGGGCACACGGGAGTTGGAGGACATGCAACGCCAAAACGGACGGCGCCACTCCCCAGCTCGTGCGGCGCCAAACCCATGCCGCAGCCAGGCTCGCCGAGCTCTTGATCGCCTTGGGGTGTCCGCTGCTTGGTTGCGAGCCTTGGCAGAAATCGAGAATCAGCGAGTTCTTGTCCGTCACCCGCGTCGCCCGGTTGCTAGGTCCACCGAACCAGGTGAACCATGTGGTGAACCAGTGGTACCACCCAGGGAGACTCTCCGGTGCGACCCACATCTGGCCGAACTGGGCCGGTTGGATGGATGAAGTTCGGCATCTCAGAAGATCCACCTACACGGCAGACCAGCCGGGCTGGTCCTTGGAGAACGGTGAACCGAACCCAAGTTATAGGTTTGAAACAAGGGGCGTTGGATGGTTGAACTGTTGATAATTACGTTGGATGGCGTTGGGGTTCCTTTTGACATGGAGAATTCGGCTGTTTTGACAAATGTGATCTGAACCTTGACTGGATTGGGGAATGTGATCTGAAACCCTCCGCAAAAGCATAGAAACTCATGATAGAACACCCTTGAAAACCCTGTATATACAATAAATATACCGATTCCCTGGCAGATTTTTTCACCCAAATCTATCAACATCAACTTCTGGAGAGCTGAGGCCTTCTCGCCGTTGAACAAACGCCAGGACCCCACACTTGTCCAAATAGGGACGACCTCCCAGCTCCCCAGCTCCACAAGGGACGACCAGTCTCAGGGTGTCGTCTCCTCTCATGGTTCCCGGTATTGAAATACACACTGCATGTGGTATATATCTATAACCACTTGTATAACCACTTGTATAACCACTTGTACAACCATATAACCACTCCCAAATATAGATCCAACCAATTCATGGGACACACCATGTCCACATGGGGTAAAAAAGCATCAGTCTCACACCACCGCAGCTTGCCACCATGCAGGACCAACAAGGCTTCACGCCGGCGCAGCGGGCCACGCAGCGGGGGCGCCATGACTTGACGTTCTTGTTGCAGGCGGAAGGCCCCGGTGAGGCGGGAGTGAGGAGCGATGAGGGGTCGTCCGGGCCATGTACATTACCGAGGTTGTGTGAAGGGATGCTCTCTTGTGATGTCCTTAATCCATGATAATCCCATAAGAGGATGTGGTTTTCTCAGCACCTCGAACGACAAGTCAGGGACGACAAGAGCTTTGTTCTCTTTGTAGAGGGGGTGGAGGTGTTTCAAACGCGAGAGAGTTCAAGGAAGACCAAAGACGACCCCACGGATCTGACATGCTTTGATTTGGGGGTGCTTGACTTCAGGGATTTTCAGACATGATCCAGTCCAGCACTTGGCACTCCAGTCCCATTCTCATGGGCCCAGGTGGCATGGCATGGGCCCACGTGTCAGGATGCCAATCTTCCGAAGACCAAAGCGTGAACTCCACGACACCAGGATGAATCCAGGGAGTGCACTCCCGTCCCATTGAGTGTTTGGGAGTGGCTGACTTTGGTGTCAGGTTTCAGGTGCGAATCCATCGACGGCAGTCCACCCTTTGCGAATCCGTCGACAGATGCGTTTGACCCACACAATTTGGTGCGCACTATTATGGAAACGACCAGTTTGGTTTGACAAACTAGAAACCCGATGATGTGATGATGTGGCTTTTTACTGTTTAATGCTTTTTACTCAATCCTGGATGTGATCACACTGAACTACGAACACCAGTTTGTTGAACATTTGTATGTATGATTTGGAATCTTCAAACCTTGTGCCAAAGAAACTGGTTTGAAGAGAACGGAATTGCCATGCTTCTGCTTCACCCAAAGAATCTTAGGAACGGAATTGCCCTCAGCCACCAAGCCGCAGAGAACGACCATCGATGTCTTCGCGGTGGAACGACGACCATCGACAGGCCTCTGCGAGCGTTCTCAGCTTCATCCAGCTCAGCGACGATGATCGGCCGGAGGAGAAGAGGGAGATATTCAGCGAGACTGAGTTTAACTTGCGCCTGAAAGCACCTGAAGGGCCGCAAGGCAAAAGCATTTGATTGGTCTCAACTCTCAAGGAATCAGAAGGAATGAGTCCCGAAGATCTGCAAAGTGTGAGTGTGAGAGTGAAGTGTGAGGGAGCCTACTTGTGACATATTATATTTATTATTATTATCCCTATAACGTCAACACTTCAGCGAACAACTCTGGAAGATTTGAAGAACGACATAACATACGAATGCTCAATAGTAAGCCTAGACAAAGTCAAAAGACCGACCTCACTTGAGTTATGCCAAACACTTTGAAAGTAATTAAGAAAGATCTGTAAGATAGGATGAAGGGACAGAAGAAGGGATTGAAGGGATTGTGACTGTGTTGGCCTCTTTCTCTCAGAACATAATGTGTTCAATTCATGTTTTGTTCCTACCCGGTCAGATCAGTCCTTGAACGGTCCTTGGGGGGGGATTCTTCCGGATCGATCGCTCGAGCTGGGTGGATCCACAGGAGGCGCAGTTGAGGGCCCTGGCGAAGAAGTGTCAGGGCTACTTGCACAAGTACCCCAGTTCAGGTGCCGCAGCCCGCACGTTCACCGTCGGCCGACCGGCCGAGGGCCGACACCGGGCCTTTTGGGGTGAAGGCCCCTGTTTGTTGAGCAGCGAACAGACCCTAGGGCTCTAACCATCTCCTCAGAAGGTGGTTAGACCCTCCAAACCCACCCCAACCACCTTTTTAGGAGGTGGTTGGAGCCCTAGGGAGATACAATCAAGAAAAGGAATTGTCCAACAAAACCAAAAAGACGATAAAGATCTTTCACCTGGGCAGCGATGGAATTGTCGAGGAGGTTGTGCACAAGAATGATGGGAAGTGGCATCGACCCAATCGACTCCATTGCCGCGTCATTCCACTCTTAGCAATTTTTGGTGTCACTGGCGGTGAGTTCAAAAAGGTATTAAAAAAAAAAAACAGTTTGGTGAGTTTGGTCTTGGGCTCACCGAGTTCCCCCTGTGACGTTCCCAAAATGGGTCCTTTTGCCAAGCACCCGATTGAAGCTCCCAATTGGTAAACGGATTCGCACTCAATGTTCGGGTCATTTTGCCATTGTTTTTTTTTGTTATTCTACTATAATTGGATGTTCTTGAGAAGTTGTTACAGTTGAAAAAATACCAAGATGCAAAAAGCCTATGTCAGCTTTGCCTTCCACTTTCCATTCAATCCGTGAATTCACCAAGGCCAGCGCTTCCTTTGGACCACCATGCAGAAGCGTTACTTTGCCATCCGCTCCAACCGCAAGGCACGCTGCACATACCGTTGACATCCGTTGACACTCGATGATTAGTAGCACGTTTCATGTGTTGTCTTGCAAATGCCTGGGCAATAAGCACACGATGTGGTGTTTTTCTTTAGTGGTGAAACAGTTTGTCAACCAAAACAGAAGGGAGGATGGATTTGACAACTGATTGGGAGGACTTGGCTTGGATCGAAGTTTGATTGAAGGGATTGATTATGGATGATTTAGGAAGTAGCTTCCAAGAAGTCTGAGTTTTGGTTCAGGCAGTCTTCTTTTGGGATCAACAACCAATGTCAATTTGACTGGTTTGGTTCGGAGACAGCTCTGTGACTTTTTGCAATGCCAAGATTGCAGGTTAAGGTGTTGTGGAACACACCAGTTGCTTGTAGAAACTGTTGACAGATATGCCTTAGTAATGCAATTCCCTTGCTAACAGGATGGTGATCTTGAGGACTATGTAGTTTGGACCGAATGTCATGTCATCACTGGCCAGAACGTCTGTTCAAGCCTGACCCGATGTGGGATGATGAATGCAACTTGCAACAGTCGCTTGACATTTTTTGTACCCAGCGCTGGACCTATATATGGGTGTCCTGTTTGGTGCCTAAAGTAACGGTGTAGGGTGGTCCATTGGTAACGCCTTGGAAGCAGCTGGTAGGTAGGAGATTTGCACTTCCTGGAATAGTCATCAGAAACAAAAACATGGCCGCATGGATGACCATGGTCTATACCACATCACACGGCTCGGATGATGCATCCAGTAAACCTTTGCTTGCTGATGCACTGATGCACCGGGTAGGTCACGAAAAATGACCATTTGTTCCTCTACAAAGAGGTGGTGCACTCACTCCACGTACATAGCCATGATGATTTCAAGGACTGAGCCCTGACTTCTGCGCCTGTTGTCCATGTGACACAGCTCACCATAGCGAAAACCTCATGTCTTCACCCCTTGAGAAAAGAAAGACACAAACAAGCACTGGCCGTTTTCTGTTTTAGGCGAAGGGCGGCCGGGCCACCCTCTGCTGGGAACTGGGCTATTGGGAGAGCTTCGAAGCCTTTGAGGATCCAGGTGGCTCGGCACATGATGAATGGACCATGTGTGGAGATCATGTGGAGAGATGGACCAAATGACATCGAAAATTCAGACATGTACCCTCCGATGTGGTGGATTCATATAAAGATCTCCATAATATGATCCATATATATGTAAAAGCAGTGTCACCAGGACGAGCCGTTCCTTCAGGCACCTTTGGTTCGAGGCCGAACAGCGGAGAAAAGTGGCCGCACGGTTTGGAAGGGTAGGATCCCTTAGGACTGGGCCGATCGGCCCGTGTTTTCACATTGGTAGCGGAGCCCCTGCCCACAGGGGCAGGGGTATCCAGGTAGAGCGGTCTTAGGTTAGACGGTGAAGCTCAAAAGCAGTGTCACTTTTGTGCCATGGCATCTTCAAGTGATGGTTCAGCTGGCATGAAACGGTTCAGCGGTGAAAGTCTGGACCCCAAAGAGTATCGTCGCTGGAGGTTGTGGGCTCTGGCCAAACTGGCCTCCATGAAGGATATGCAACCGGGACAACGAGGCCCCTTCATTTTCTGTTTGCTTGACGGATTGGCCCTGGAGACAGTTGAACACCTCACGCTTGACAAGATGCGTGAGGAGAACGGAGATAAACATATCTGGGCTGCCCTTGATGAACGCTTCCCTGACAAATTGGCTCATGACCATTTGGCTGAGTGTCTCAAGGAGGTTTTCGAATTGCAAGCGGTTGAGGGGGAAAGCATTGCTGCCTGGTGCTCCCGAGTGCAGGAGGCCTTCTCCAAGTGCCGCCGTAAGGTCGCTGTGGATTTCCCGTCGGAAGCCAGGGGTTGGGTGTGTCTCAACTCTTCTGGTTTGTCGTCCGATCAACGTGCCATCGTGACGGCAAAAACACAGGGAGATCTGAAGCTGGAAACAGTGGTGGCTGCGATGCGCAGTTGTTTCCCGGATTTTCGGGTGAGCAAGCGACATACAAGAGGAGCCTACATTGTTCATCATGAAGAAGCAGAACCTATCCCACCGGAGACGGGGCCGGCTCCCGAGCCAGAAGGGCCCGATTCTGTTGTGTTTGATGAACTGGAAGCCTTTTTAGCAGAGCATGGAGTACAGGACAGTACAACAGCCAGTTCCGACATCTATGAGGAGGACGAAATTGCTGAAGTGTTGGCAGCAACATGGAAGGAGCGTCGATCTGAAATCTCGAAGCTTCAGAAGACACGGAAGTTCCAACAAGCCAACACGCTCAAGAAGCAGTTCTCCAGAGAGGTGACCGACCTTCAGAAACGTTCTCGCTGCCGCCGATGCAACCAGATCGGGCACTGGGCAAGAAATTGTCCCCAAGCAGCGAGCACCTCAGTCAAGGCAGACAAGGAGAAGGTCAACGGAGCCGCTGTTGTGACACATGAGGTTTTGCTTGTGTCCTCCCAGGCTATGGAATCATTGACTCGGGCTGCAGTCGGACCCTTATCGGTCAGGAGACTCTGGGTGCTTTCCTACGCCTGTATCATGAGCGACACATGCAGTCACCCACTTCTCGCTCGGAGCAAAACCTGTTTCGTTTTGGCAACGGACAAGAGGAGCTGTCAGAGCGGGTGGTGTCAATGCCAGTGATCATCCACGGCCGCAGAGGCCGAATAGACGCTGCTGTCATCCGAGGCAGCGCTCCACTCCTCCTCAGTCGAAGCACGCTGAAGAGCCTCAGGGCTGTCCTCGACTTCTCGGAGGGAACCATTGCCATGCAGGGCGGGGAGCCCCATCCGCTACAGTTGAATGAAGCAGGTCAGTTCATTCTCAATCTCATGGACTCCGACGAGGCCTTGGTGGTGGAGCAGGAGCAAACATCTCCATCGAGTCCAGAACAGTGGCAGACTGGGCCCACTCGCTTGTGCACGACACGTGAGCAGCGATGTCTCCTGGCTCAACATCGAGCTTGGAACAAGACTGAAAGCACATGTGTGGTGGCCGAGCTGTTCTCACCGCCACGGTTCAGTGACTATGCTGCAAAACGGGGAGAGAAAGGGCTGTCCTACGACATCAAGCAGGGCTGGGATCTGTTGAAGACATCCGTACAGAAACAGGTCGATCAACAGCTGGAAGATGAGAAGCCCGAGCTCCTCGTGTGTTGTCCAGAATGCAAACATTGGGGGGGTTGGTACCGGCTCAACAAAACCCGACTTCCCTTGCTGGAACAACTGCAAAATGAGCGCATTGCCCAAAGACAAGCTGACTTTTGTATTCAACAGATCAAAAGGCAAATCAAACGTGGTGGTCGTGTGTTGGTGGAACACCCTTGGGCGAGTGACCTTTGGAAGTATCCACCCATGGCCAAGCTGCTGAAGTCAAATCAGCTTGTGGTGCACCGCGCCAACATGTGCGCATATGAGTTGAAGGACCCAGACAATGGTCAGCCGATCCTCAAGACAACCGGTCTTGCCGTCTCGCATCCCGACATGGCCTCTCTGGCCTTGCAGTGTCCAGGACCGGAACATCACAAAACACACCAGATCATTGCCGGACATACACACACAGGCATGTGCCGTAGTAACCATTGTGCAGCATACACCAATGAGTTCGTAGCGACATGGATGTCTTGTGTTCGACCCCATTGGAACCTGTGTCTGTTCGCGTGTCTGCAGGAGAGTTTGTCAAGTGAGGGGCTGGAGCTGACGGATGAACAAAACCATGAAGTGTGTGCCGCGGCTCAAGTGCAAGACCCAGAGAAGGTAAAGACACTAGTGAAGAAGTTACACAACAATTTAGGACATCCTTCTACGAGAACTCTAGTTCGTGTTCTGAAGAATGCCGGGGGTTCTCCAGAGGCCTTGCAAGCCGCCGAGCATGTCGAAGGTGCGTGCGACATTTGCATCAATCGACAGAAGCCGACACCAGCCTTGCCAGTCAGTCCGGATAAGCCGTTGGATTTCAATCATAGGGTAGGATGGGACGTCAAACTCTTACCAGGATGGCAGGTGAACCAACAGATTAAATGCTTGAACATCATCGATTTCGCCACCAGTTTCCAAGTTATGGTCCCGTTCTATGAGAAAGAAACCAATGAGCTCCTTCGTCGCTTGTTCAAAGAGACTTGGCAACGGTGGGCCGGCATTCCGGTGGAAGTCATCACCGACCCAGCGAAGACAAATACCGCTGAAGCTGTGTTCCAGCAATTGGAACAAGATGGGACTCGCATGATCACCAGTGCGGCGGAGGCTCATTCTCAGTTAGGTAAGGTAGAAAAGCATGGACACCTGTTCGAGGTTATCTTGCAGAAGGTGCTAGATCAAGCTCAACCCAAGAATAAAGCAGAGTATGAACAGTGCATTGTCCAAACACTCAATGCCAAGAATGAGTTGTTGAATCAGAAGGGTTTGTCTCCTTGCCAGCTGGTGTTCGGGCGTAATCCCCGAGTACCTAGTGATTTGATACAAGAATGGCCGTGTCCTGTTGCCGGAACCACACCTTTGCATGATGAAATGGCAGCCAGAGCTCAGGCAATTCGCACTCAGGCACGGACTGCACTGGTCATGGCTCAGGACGACCAAGCTCTTCGAACAGCGCTCAATGCTCGACCCCGGGCTGAACGGGATTTTCTTCCGGGAGACTATGTTGCTTACTGGAGAACCCAAAAGTATGAGAAAGGCATCCGTTTGGTGGGGGGTCGTTGGTTTGGGGTGGCAATCATCATGGGAAAGATCGGTCGCAACTTCTTGATTTACCACAGGAAGAACATATTCAAGGTAGCCCCCGAACACCTTCGTCATGCATCCCCCGAAGAGCGGGTTATGGCCCAAACTGAGGGCAGAGAGCTCCTAGGACTCAGTGCCTTGCTGCAGGAGGGAGAGAAAAACCCCTTTGGACATCAGTTCACGGATCTCACAGGGACACCCACACCAGTTGCAGCCTTGAACAATCAAACGGCTAGTTGTGAAGATTACTGGATTCGTCGAGGTGGCCTCCTGTGCCGAGTGCATCGGATTCCGCGAACTGAGACGTTCATGCCTGATCCAAATGACCCCGAACTCCGAGGTTTGTCCCTTGAGAACTATCGAAAGACCATCAATGAAGACACTAAAGAATGTGTAGTGCATCAGGTCCTGTCCGCACCAGAACACAGAGTCACAGTCTGGGGGGAAACACCATGGACGGGGGAGTCACAGTTCAGGATCAGGGAACAAAGGGCCCGGACTGACAGTCCAGGCACGGCAAGCGCAGTGCCGGCCGAAGCCAGTTCGACGCCCGTCGTTGACACATCCATGCAAGAAGTCCTTCCGGGAGCAGTAACGTCCAGCAGTGCAGTATCTCCATCCTCAACGGTCAATCCCCGTCAGCTCCGTTCGAACCGAAAGAGGCTGGTGACCAAGAGTCTCAACAATACGGACCAGTCAGATTGAGACAACACTACAAGAGTCCACCACTGTTCCTGATTCGTCCCCCAGAAACAAAAATCGATGACCTCCAAGAGATGTTGACCGAATCGCATGGAACCAAAAGAAGTCTTTCCCCGGAAGGCAAAGCAAATGTGTCGAACAAGTCCTCAAGAGTCGAATCCGAGGGTGATGAGTGCCTCTTTTCGGAGCTCGCTCGTGAGAGTGGACCAGCGCCGTGTGTCGAGGTCTTGATTGCCAGTTTTCTTCAAAAGAAAATGCAAAAAGAATTACACCATTCCAAGAATCCTCTTGAACTTCAAGAACAAATCGACCTGTCCAAGACCACGGAATGGACCACGTTGAGAGACGAGAAACGAGCTTTGAAAGTGATTCCTCCTCGTGAAGCCGATCGAATCCGCACAAACAAACCTGATAGGATCATGACTAGTAGATTCGTAATCATCGAGAAAACAGAAGACGGCAGCAGCAAGATCAAAGCGAGGTGGTGTCTTCGTGGCCATCATGATCCCGACTTGTTCAGCAAAGTGCTTGCCGGAAAGTGCCACTCACCGACATTGTCTCAATTCGGCCGTAGCTTAGTCCTACAAATGATAGTGAGTCACCAGTGGGTGATGCACTTGGGAGACATAAAAGGAGCATTCTTAGAGGCCGATGTCAAAGAAAAAGCACTTGCCAATCCGGTATACGCCGAACTGCCTCCGGGCGGGGTTCCCGGAGTTGAACCGGGTTCGTTGGTTCAAGTGTTGGGAAACATCTATGGGGCAAATGACGCTCCTCATGAATGGTATTGTGAGTTCGACCGAGTCGCCACTGCATCAGGGTTTGTGAAGAGCAAGTTTGATAACTGCTTGTACCTCTGTTTTGGTTCTGATGGTAACCTTGAGGGCGTGCTTGGGGCTCACGTTGATGACACCATTACCGGGAAAGAAGGACCCTGTTATGAAGCCGCAATTCAGAAGCTGAGGGACAGATTTCCCTTCAGGAAATGGAGGTCCGGGACTGGGGAATTCCTAGGCACAGTTTATGAACAAGATCCACAAACCAAAGAAATCTCCTATTGTCAACAGGAGTATGCAGAACATATTCGACCCATCAAGATCTGCAAGGAACGTGCCAAGCGAACCTGGCTCCCAGCAAATCCTCAAGAAGTGACGGCACTTCGAGCTGTCAATGGTGCCTTGAGTTGGCTGAGCACTCAGACTCGCCCAGACGTGGCAGTGCAGACCTCGATGAGTCAGCAGTGTTTCCCGAAGCCAACGGTTTTTGACCTTCTCCAGGCCAACCAGGCCGTTAGGCGGGCACGGCAGCAAGCCGACATGAAATTGAAGGTGCCATATATTCCCGTGAAAGAGCTTTCACTTTGTTTTTGGTCCGATGCAGCTTTTGCTAATTCCACTGAACTCAAAACCCAAGGTGGTTGGTTAGTTTCGTTTACTTCCAACAAAATCCGGCACGGTGCTGATGTCCCCGTTCATTGTTTTGCTTGGAAATCATATCGCCTTCCACGAGTCGTTTCATCGACCATGGGCGGAGAAGCCCAGGCATTTTCCACAGCAGCAGGGGTCTGCGAATGGGTCAGTTTAATGTTAGCAGAATGCCTAGATGGTCCTTTTGCACTAGAGGAAGCCGAAAGGGTTTTAAGCAGACGCTCGTCGATCGGAATCACCGACTGCCGATCGCTATACGATCATCTCGTGTCGCTGGGACAAGGGGGTGTCTTAGGAGACAAACGAACTGCGATCGACATTGCGATCATCAAGCAGTCCATGCAGCGTTCAGGTTTAGAGCCCAGGTGGGTACCCACCACTCATATGCTGGCAGATGGTCTCACGAAAGACAAAGCCGACCCAATAGACCTGCTGCGCTCAGTCCTGAGATCCGCTCGCTATCAACTGGCCGATGAACAGGCTGTCCTCGAGAGAAAGAAAAACGAACGAGAACGACGCAGGCAGCTAATCAGCAGTCGAGCCAATAAGGAGCAGAGTCAGAAGACTCAGAATTAATTCGATCAAGTTAGAAATAATCTCTCTTGTTTTTGCCGCCACGCCTTCAGTTGGACATTCATGCTTTGTACACTTGTGTGGAGTGTCAATGGGGACACTCAGAAAGACATGTTGAAGCAGGGAGAATGTCATTTTCGTTTGATGCAATGTTTTGTCTTGCGTGTGCTAGCTAACGCACCTCTCCCATAAGTTCACAGTGCAAACACTGTTAATAGCCTCTCAAATCCATGAGATAAGCTTGAGGAACTTGGTTTTCAGATTCTCAACCATCCGTGAGCCATTTTTGCTTCTCGTCAGCTTCCGAGCAGCAAGCGAGGGTGACCAACCAGCACCTCATCCTTGTGTGTCATGGCTTCGAGCAATACTCCAGTGACACCTGAGGAGTATGAGGCCGCAAAGGCCGTGTTGTCTCGAGCTCACCGAGCTGGGGTGGCTTCCCAAACTGGCAAATCCTCCTCCACCGGAGGTTCGATGAGTGATGCATCGAAGCGGCTCCGCGACCAGCGTGACATTGAGCTAGATGAGCAATGGGAGCCCGTGGCATACTCAGAGCCAGAAAAGCCCATGTGTGAGGATCGCCTCAACCCATACAAGATGAATGACCAGAAGCCCATCATGAGCAAGCCCGAGACTTCGGTGGTACTACCACCGGGAATCTCGTGCATCGCCGACTGGAGCACGACGATCTGCAGGCTCCCCAAGGTTCAGAAGCTAGGCATGACATATGCCGAACTTGTTGCCAGCCGTGATCATCACGGATACCTGACATGGATCCAACAGCACGGCAAAGGCCGTGGAGGAAAGTTCGAAGACCTTGCCTGCTACCTTGAGGCCATCCGATTCGCCGACTCCAAGGGCTACAGCAGTGATCCACAGAAGACATACCCCAATAGCCGCGAGAAGCGTGAAAAGAGGTAATTCCTGGTGGTCATGAAAAGACAGCTGCACAATGCTCCAAGCTTCGAAGTTTGTGCCAGAGGATGCATGAGCATTTTCGTATAAAGTAGTTGGAGTGTAAAAGCAGTGTCACCAGGACGAGCCGTTCCTTCAGGCACCTTTGGTTCGAGGCCGAACAGCGGAGAAAAGTGGCCGCACGGTTTGGAAGGGTAGGATCCCTTAGGACTGGGCCGATCGGCCCGTGTTTTCACATATATATATATACTGTATGTATGTATACCAGGAGCCTCCTGTCGGGGTGTCCTGGCTGAACTCGCCCACACTACCTATAGGCTTCCAGACAGGGCACCCCGACAGGAGGGTCCTGGTATATAGATGTTGGCAATCCGTATGATGTTCTCATGATGTTGGCGAGACCCTCCGACACACATGGACGATGGTTACGTGCCATGGCATGGACGAGGTTCCTCTACGAACTCAGTGGCCATCCATGGCTACGTGAGACGGAGTGCATCCCAAAGTAGAATTGTTTGCAAGATTCTTCCTGTGTGGCGAGGTTTCAAAGCGGATGTGGACGGTTCCTTTCCTTCTCTCAAAGCGGGCTTGATGAGTTTCACCTTCCTGGATGCGCTCTGAGACGGTACAAAAAACCATCCCAAAAGGCCGAGCCAGAGTGCGGCCAGGAAGCCGGAAAACAGTCACCCACCCATGGGACTGAGACAATGTAGGCGGCATAGATACATGGAGTGTTTGGGAAATGGGTCTGTAGTTTCATACCCTAGGGATCCAGTCGTACCGAACCTCAGGTTCGGTATGACTAGACCCTCCTGGCCCCCGGGCCCCCGTCGTCCCACCGAACCGAAACGATACGGTACGACTGGAGGCCTAGGGAGACGTAGACGTCCGACCAGAAGGTCGATCGGTCTTCCAGGGGGTTCGGTGGCCGCCACGCCACTTCCTAGGGGTTCGGTCTCCCTAGGACTGAGCTACACACCTAACAGGGGTTGAAGGACCCTATAGACTATATCATTGGTAGCTCAGTCACGCAGTAGGAATATCCTTTTCAGGTCTATTAATCTCTCTTGGCACCCCAAATCGCCTCGAATGACGCCCTCAGATGTGGAGCCCAAGAACTCCTTGGACTTGTCGGACGTCCTGACCGTGAGCCAAGCGCCACCGGCGGACGCGGGAGTGCAGATCTGCTATCGCGTCTTGTTTGGTGATGAAGAGAGCCAACAGCGGCCGGATGGGCTCATCCCATTTGGCAGGGGATTGGCGCCACCGTGTAGGGAGCGCATGTGATGTCAAATGAACATGAACAGATGCTGATGCAATTCAATAGGCGTGTAGTTCAACTTGGTGAACAGTGACAAGATGAGTCTGGAAATGATGGAGATCATCAAAGGCCGCAGTCTATTTCCTTTCTGCAAGTGGTACTGTATTGTAGGGGCTCTCCCAATGGAAAGACACCCAATCTTCAGCTGTAGGACCACTGGCTAGCTCCCCAGGAAAGGATGGCAACAAGCAGGAGCTGCTGGCAGTGGCCAAGGAGAAGAAAGGGATCTCTTTGGCGGAAGAAACATGAAGAAACCACATCGTGAAACTGCTGGGATTCAGAGGGAGCTCCCTGAGCGAAGCAGCTGAGGGCCTCAAAGTTGGGTCCCAGAGTTGGGTCAGAGTTGGCTCTTCACTCGGAGGTTCCCCCCCTTGCTCGCCCGCAAACCCTCCAGTCGTACCCTGAGAACCTGGGACGCCAAAAGCGTCCCAAGTACCGTCGGAGGTATGACTATGACTGGAGCCCTAGTGCACCGTGTTTGTCGACGAGTGTTTTTCAAAGTCGAAAGGACTCTACAGGAGGAAACTCACTGGATGGATTCGTCTCCCCCAGGAGGCAACCCAGCCCGTGTGATGTTTACATAAAATTTATAAGATGTTTACCAATATGGACCACGGACCAAGACTCATGGATTCCTAAAGATTGTGCAGAAAAGTTCAACTTCATGAGACAGACCTTCCACACACCTTTCAATCACCTTCCACATCTTTGATCCACTTCCACATATATGTCTTCCACTTCGCCAACCCCCCAAATCCGCCAACGCCACCCGTTCTCTGTGGCGTCTGTGGCTTCGCCACCGGTCTCTGATCGACTGGCACCGACGAGTCGAATCCTGTCGAGGATTCCAAGCAGATCCCCTCGTCCAGCGAGGCGGAGCTGTGGTGCCAACACCTGCGGCGCCTCGGAGCTCGCGATGCGGCGCTCGGAGCTCGCGATGCGGCCTGGGTTGGGCGTTCATAGCCGCCAGCCGGAGTGGTGGGGTCTTGGTGGAAAAGACGTCATGTTTAGGTGGTTTAACATGTTGTAATTCAGTGGTCTTTGTTTACCATTTGTCAGAGCTGGTTCAATCTCCTGGAGAAGACGATGTTCGTGGTTCCTGGGAGCTGGCAATTTGGTTTTGTAGGGTATCTATTATTATAGATCCTCGAGGTATCAATCAAGATGCTAGATGTGATCAAGTACCTTGATTTCTTGAGGGTGATGTCCCTCGACTTGCATTTTGGCGCTTTTTGTCTCACAGTCTTCTAACTAGATGGTGCCTGGAGTGTCTCTGTGACTGTCATGCTGGTCATACAATTCAACCAGGAGCTTTGTGGATTTCTTGAAGGAGACCAAGCAGGAGAAGCGGCGACTTCGCCCGAAGCTTCCGAAGGCTGCCGTTTCTGTCAACGGAGACGGAGCTGGTCCTCCGGGGCGCCCCCATGCCGGTTCCCCAAAGAAAGGAGTTCATGATCCCGTTGGGCTCCTGGCCCACCTCCGTTTCGAAGATGGGCCAGGGGTGGGTGGGTTTGGGGGGTCTAACCACCGAACCTGAGGAGATGGGCCAGGAGCCCTAGGGGAGAAATAGTTCATGTGGATCAGCAAAAATCGCAGGGCTACATCATGTTACATGTGTTTGGCCCATGAAAATGACCCTGATGCATACTGGACCCTTAACGTAGGCAACTAATGGCAACTGCATATTTGCATAGAGTGTTTGGATTTGATCAGTTGGGTTGAAAAGGGGTAAAATCCGGGTCAATGTAGGCGTGTATATAGAACTAGAGCCTGAATGACATCTACTTTAGTTCTGTTTGGGCTCTCTCTCTCTCTCTATACACAGGGGTGTTTGGGTCAGAACAAGCCTTCCATTTTCGGAGTTGATAAATTTATGCCAGTGTATGGCTATCCGGTGTAATTATATATATGAATTCAGCATCATGACATGTGAGTTTTGCGAAATGCCCAGACTGCCGACTCCCCCCGCCAACAATCTCTGCAACAACCCCTCAAGTCAAATCAAACATACATATAATTTAGAATGGACACGAATGGACTACTAGGAGGGCTGGCCATAGGGTGTTTCGCCCTTGGCGAGTCTTTTCAACCCACTCACCTGATGTCCGGTGTTTGGCACGCACCCACTCAGCTGGTCGAGCGGAATCTTGTTTGGCTCGTACGCAATGACGCCATGCCGTTGGTGCTACCCCCCTGCCATCACTTTTTGGAACACGACCCCTGACTTGAAAACCCTAGCTGCTACTAAGTACTAGCCTCTCACATGTGTGTTGAATGAAGGTATCACAAGGTTATACCCAGAAACTCCATGTATGCCGTATATGCCTACATTGGGGTGGTTTGGGGGGTCAATTGATCGGCGTATATGGCAGTCCCATGGGTCGTGTCTGGGTTATATAAGATAAGTCTCAGGGCATTTGTGCCCGGTTCAGAGAGTGCCCTCTACGTCCATCACCCTCCTCTTCCATCCTTCCGTCACAGCAACACATGACCCCTGAAACATGTGGCTTTTGGAAGAATATTACAGGACAATCTATACTATACCTTACCCTAGGGCTCCAGTCGTACCTGCTCAGAAGGTATGACTGGACCCTCTAAACCCACTCCAAACACCTTCTTAGAAGGTACTTGGAGCCTTAGGGTTAAGTTCTATAGGTCTGTGGGTTGGCATCCTTCGCATACTTCGTTTCCTGTGCCGTGTAATGTGTCTTCCCTATACACCATCATATCTATAGCTGGTGATTCGCCAGGGAGCGCCGCGAACCGGCTCGAGGGAATCGCTCGTTCCGTCGCCGGAATCGCTTGCTCGTTCCGCGACGGGGTGAGACTGCCTGGACTCACTTGCTCCCTAAGGATCTGTTTTCGTACCGAACCTCAGGGACGGTGATGTGAGACCGACGTAGCCGGTGCCAGCCAGTCGGGTCCAGTCGTACCGCACCTGAGGAGAAGGTACGAAAATGGATCCCTAGGGGCTTTTTTCTCCATGTCCACCCCACCAGCCTGCTGTCTCCGTGCTGGAACAGACTGGTCCTGTGCCAGGTCGATCCCTTTGCGGATGCCGACCCCGGCCAGTGTCTCTTGGTTTCGAATCCGACCGAGAGGTAGAGGACTTCCCCGATCGTGGTGATAGAGGTGGAGGACTTACAAGCTTCCCTGGAGTAGCGAATATGACCCGTTTCGGAAACAATGTGTTCTCTTGGATTCTTCCGATATTCCAACTCCTGTAGCCAGTACTAGTCACCAGTTCGGGATAGCGGCTATGATGGTGGGGCCTCCTCGCGGCAGCCGCGGGCTGGGAAAACCAGTGCGAACACCACCACAAACCGTTCAGTACCAGTGATGTTCCTATGGATCATCCTGTGTACCCTGATCACCGGCAGTCACGCTGTCCCTACTGAACCACAAGCACAGGATACTACCGAGCCTCTGTACCACCTGCTTTGGGTGGTAATACTTGGAATCTGTGGATTCCTTTGGGATCGTTGCACGGCACCATCCCTCAATTCGCTCCCACGAGCGGACAAAACCAAAAACAAACCAAAAAGGGTGAAGAAAAATGCAAAACCCATAAACAGGACATCTACACACTTGCACTTTAGACGCCTCGCTTGCTTCCAAGCCAGGCGCGCCGGACGCTCCCGCGTCTCAGCACCCCGCCTCCGGCATCGAAGAAGTGCCGCAAGGCTCTACGCACAACGACTTCATTTTTGGAATTTGGGGCACCCTGGAAGACTGCGCCGGCCGCGCCGTCTGAGGGCCACGACACCACACACTTACTCTATCTGGGTCCCACGCACACCGCTGGATTGCCGTATCCAGTCCTTTCTTCACGACTCAGCACTTACAGACCTGCACTTAGCCACAGAGTGTCTCCGCACAGCATCAGCTTACAGCCCGCGGCCTTTTCCCGACTTGGCCGGCGGAGCTGCCGCTTCGGCTGCTACAAAGCGTAAGCGATGGGAAAAGACCAGCCTTGCTGCCGACCAGACACTTGCAAACGCACTCACAAAAGTGCTCCAGCAGTGGCAACACCAAGGAGATTCAACCAAATCCACGCCGCCCAAACGGCGGCGACCGGCGCCACCATCTAAGCCGGTCACAGCCACTTCTAGCAACAGCCTTGCTGTACAGTTACACACCCTCTTGACTGAGAGCCAATCACAGGATACCACTGACCAGCAACTGGCACACAAACTTCTTGCACTCCTTGCTCCGTATACACACGCTCAACGACCTAGCAATGGAGCACCTCCACCAACCCGCACTGTCACTTTACAGTCCCAACCTCCAGCAAACATCAACAACAGATGGCGTCGATCTAACAAGGATCCTACTAACACCGCCATAACACACTTAGTCTCACACGAGTGGACTGCACCTCCTACTTTGGGCCACAGTACCGAGATCTTGCAAGCCATCCGCACCGGCAATACACTGCCTAAAGCCAACATCACAGAGGTCTGGTCACTGACTGAAGCCGAGGCCCTCCGCACTGCTTGGCGTGCACATGGCCTCACCACTTCTCTGACCCTCCTCCTTTACGGACCTGCAAAAAAGCTGGACTCCGCTACACACACTCGCATCCGCACCACACGTGGGCGCCAAGGCCAACGTGTTGAGGAGGTCGCCTTGCTTGCATTGGGCACTGACGGAAACCATCCTTGGACCCAAAAGGCAATCAAGGTCAACGACACCACATCTCAAATCATCCCGCGACATACATTGCGCATCGCAGCCCCAGCTGAATTCAGACAATACTTCCACGATACCCATGACAAACCACACTTGATCGTAGCCGACATGGCTCAATGGGAGACAACGCTCCGAGCAGGCGCACTCACTGGAGGCCAATGGAACGAAACTTGGTCCAAACACGACTCCCTCGTGGTTGGTTACCTTCGATTGCCTTGCAAAGACGCTGAAAAGCTCGTGCCACATAGCGGCACTCGGGGCATCTTCGTTAATATACAGGAAACTGACTCCCTTCCCAAACCTATCACCTGGATCGCCCGCGACCCCAGCGAAGGTCCCGACCAGTATCTCAGCCGATGCCAACAACAAGCCCAGACCAAGAACTCAGGCCTCTTCTACTGCAAAGGTCATGCCACAAACAACCTCGGCATCCTTGCTCCAAGGGGCGATCCTGCCACACGGTCCTCTCGCTTCTATCTGATCCGAGGTGTTCCTCGCCAATGGGAAGCTGAAGAAATCACAACCTTCCTCACTGACCAAAAGTGGTCCGCTTTGGAACGATTCACTAAGAGTAAATTCAAACCCGAATGGAAATTCCGAGCCATCCCTCCGGATGAAAAAGAGGTCTACCATTACTCTTTCAATGAATTTGACACCATTTCATGTTTCCCAGCCCCCCGCAAGCCGACGGCAATGCCAGCCTCGTGGCCCGTCCCAAACACTTGGAAGGGCACACCGTACTCCAAACGCGACAGCGCGGACCAGAAGGACACACGATCACCTTCAGACACCAAATCGGAGGCCCATCCCGTCCTTGACAAATCTTCAAATGATGTTTCCAAAGCTCGCAGCCGCAGCCCACCACCACAGCGTTCCAAAAGCGAGCAGATCTCCCCATCGACTTCCACAACACTCCCTGCCAATCCGACCGATGCTCTTGCGCAGGGTTGGAGCCGTCAAGACTTGAAAGGCAACGGCGATTGTTGTTTCCGTGCCATTGCTGCCGCAAAGTCCAAAGCAAAACACAACAAACTCCTTACCGAACAAGAAGCCTCGGTCGCAGGCGCGGAACTCCGTTCCTTGATGGTTGCACACACCCGCAAACACAAGGATCGGCTCCAGGAATGGTTCTCGCCAGACCCCAATGAACCCAGTTCCCAACGGGCCCATCAGGCCCCTGCCACCACTATCGAAGAGTGGTGCACCAACATGGAGCATCAAGGTACATGGGCCGACGGTCTCGCTATTCACTCTCTGGCCGAGCGCACAGGTTTGAGCATCGTCGTTTGGAAAAAGGAGATCAGCGGAACGTGGTCGCGGTACACCTTTGCACCCAAGTTCAACAGGGATGATGTTGCCACTGCTCGGCAAGGGGAAAAGCCCTTGTGCATCATCCTTGAGGACAAACATTACACAACCCTCCATCCTCCAGACAAGGTTCGTGTACCCCGACCTTGGCTGTTCAAAACTTTGAACAGACGCGAGAGCATTGTCATTGACCTTACGGGCGCTGGCCGCTCTTTGGCCAGCCGCACGCCCAGCAGCCTTCACACATGCCGTTCTGCACCATCCTCCGCAGTGGCCAGTGTTGCACCAGCACCAGCCCCATCCGCCCTCAGCCCGGTCCCTGCTACTCCCACCACCCTCCATTCGTGGTTCACCAGCGCACCACGCCGCAGTCCAGCGCACACCAACCCCGGCCATCCCTGCACACCTCCCGCTCGGGAGCGGCCTACCCGCTCTTGCGCTCGGCGACCCCATGTCGGTGCGACCTCTGGTGTGTCGTCGGCGCAGACGGGCGCGGCCACCCCCCGACGGGACAGGCGGACGGCTCCCGCCCATACAGCCCCAGCACACATTGCCTCCGCAGCAGCAACACACACCACCACCAACCACTCCAACGCGGGGTCGGTGCCCCTACATGTCGTCCAGGGGTCGGTGCCCCAGCAGTTCAACTCGGAACGGACAATGAAGAAGGGTGAGCAAGTGTTAGACTCAGAACTGACGTTGAAGAAGGGTGAGCATGTTATCAACTCTGAACAGATGAAGAAGAGGGGTGAGCAAGAGTTCAACTCAGAACGGGTATGGAAGAAGGGTGAGCAAAAAGGTTACAAACCACAGCCACCGCAGATACACGAGCAGCCGCAGCTACAGCAGACCCCAACCCATACACACCACGCGGGGTCGGTGCCCCAGCCACGGCCACAGCATGATCAGCTTCATACAACCCCGCCCCTACTGGGCGTCACCTCAGCAATCAGCACGGCAATCAGCACACCTTCCGTGCATTCACGACCAGAAACGGAGCAGCTTACTGAGCACACTCGATTAAGTCTTAGTCCGCCCCATTTTAGGCCCCTTTGCCTTAGTCCGCCACTAAGTAATCCCTCACTCGTTTCCACTGAAGGGCTCCAGCCTCCGGCATTATCTGCCGCTGCTATCCAAATGCATCAGCAGCAAGCTCAATCGGCTCCACTGGTGCGGAAAACCTTTCCGAGTTGCAAGATCCGTAAGCGGGTGGCTGCCCGTCCAAAAGTGGACGGTTGGTATAACTGGCAATGCCCTGTTTGTTCGGAAACCATCCGAGTCAAAGGCCACAACAACGGTCGGTACTACAAGAATAAGCACTTAAAGATGATTCACAACACCACCTTGCTACACCATCCCGGCCGAGGCCGTAGCGATCTCACTTTCCGCTGCCAGCTCAGGGCCAAGCAAATGCAGCAAATGGTTCCCCCTGCGGATCAACACGACCTTGTCCATGTTAAGTCAGCTGGCCTCACATCTTGCGTCCCCAAAAGCACCACCTGGATTTGCAAAAGGTGTCTTGGCAAGGGTTCGACAAACGACATGTACCAGTGGATTTGCACCTCCACCACCATCCCGGCCATGCGGGCCAAATGGTGGTCCAAACTGTCCTGTGACCAAAAACAGCTGTTGGCCTCCACGCTTGGCTTCTCCCTTTCTGATTGGGATCATCGATTCCTCGAGAAACTCCAAGCTAAGCGCAAAAGATATCCATGCCAAGATTCGGCTAAAGACCGCGAGGCCCGCATTCAATATCGCAAACAGATCTCAGACCAGCGCAAAGCTTGGCGCGAGACTCACGCCATCACAACAAATGCCTCCCAGGCCAGCGGCGCGGTCAATGGCACCAGTTTCTTCCAACCCGTTTTGCCGCAGCGATTGAACAAAGCACGCAAAACATCCCTGGATTCGTCTCTTCCAGCTACCAGTGGTGCCTTGGCTACCCAGCCATCTGCGCCCGCAAATCCCAGGCCTTCAGCTCTCTCCAGCAGCTCTTTGACTTCGTCCTCGCTCTCGGCGCCTCCTCCCTTGCCCGCCTCGCGGTCCTCAGTGCGGCGCCCACGGTCTTGTGGGACGCCCGCAAAAGCGGAGGGTCGGGGGGGTAGGCGCCCGGCATCCACCACGCAGCCTCACGCTTCCCAGCATGCTGAGCCCTGTTGCAAGCTGGATCATCAGCCGGGCCTCCAAAGACTTGATCCTTTCCAAAGACTTGATCCTTTCCAGGATCCTCCTGCTGTCCCTTTGCCTGCCTCGCGCTCGTCAGTGCGGCGCCCTTGGACTTGGACTTGCAGGGCGACCGCAACTGCGATGGGTCGGGGGACCATGCCCGGGTCCAGGCTGGCTCCGTCTCGTCTCAGCCTGATTGCTTTCGCTGTCAGTCTTTTCCTTTCCTTCCATGCTCAATTGCAAAGCAACCATCTCGTTCTCATTCACGCTTCCCATCCTACACCACTTCCGCTACGTGGCCAATCTCAGACCCTTTTGCCCGCCTCGCGTTCCTCTGGGCGGCGCCCTCGGTCTTGGATTTGGACCATGGGGGCGACTGCCACTGCGATGGGTCGGAGGGTTCTGGCTCGGCTCACGTTCTTCCGTCGCCTCTCTGCCAAATTGCTGTGCCGCCGCCAGCACAAACGCGACCTCTGCCGCGAAGGCATCGAACCTAATCCGGGTCCGCACCGGCGATCTGCGCCTTCTCGGTCTGGGCAGCTCCGTGTCCTTCAGCATAACATCGACTCTTGGTTCCGCCGCGGCGATGACTTTCTTGAGCTTGCGACCTCCGTCCAAGCTTCCATCATCTTGCTCCAGGAAACCTTGCTCTCTCCTTTGGAAGCTACTCAATTGGCTAACAAACTCCAAGGCTCCTGGCAGTTTTTCCACCAAAGCGGTCGCCTCAGTCGCGATGTCTATACTGGTGGCGTGGCCATTCTCGTGAGGCACGACCTCCCTTGCGCTTTTGTCGCTTCTGACACCGGCGGCTACGGTGAGTGGATTTCGGTCGCCGTTCACGACTTTTTCATTACGTCAGCATACCGCCGTAACAACCTTTCGCAAGAGCAGTTGCACACTTGGAACTTGTGCCTCACAGATCATCTCGCTTCCCTTCCTGCCCGTCCCTGGCTCGTGGGAGGGGACTTCAATCACCTCCCTCACGAAGACGCACTTTGGCCTTATAGTGCCCTACTCTCCGCTCAGGTGATATACCCACAGGCCCCTTTGGACTTGGCCATCGCTGCAGAGGAAGCTCCTTTCCCTGGTCCCCCGGGCCTCTCCACCCGGTGGGCCTCTGGTCGCTGTGTGGATTGGTCGCTCCAGCGGGACCTCCATGTCCCACCTTCTCTTCGACAAGAAAAGTTTAGCGACCACAAAATTCTTCAGTACGACCTTGACTTGCCTTCACAGCTGCCTGCTGCACCACTCCGTCGATTCCAGCCTCGACCAAATTATTCTCGCCCGGACCACATGTCCGCTGACGACTGGCAGGACTCGCTTTCACACATTTGGCAGTCGCAGGATCCACCCCCCGATTGGACTTCTTTTAATCAAGCTCTTAGTCACACCATGCACACGGCTTGGCAAACGGCATTTCAACACCACGGCCCAGCACCCAAGCAGCCCCGTCACCGACACAAGGGCAATCTCCCTCGCACCTACATCGTGACCCACCACCACCGACCTCACGCGAACACCGACTGCGCCGTGAGCACCATTCGCCTCCGTCGCCTGTGGCGACTCCCCAGCTCCTGGCAAAACTGCGTCGGGAGGCATTTGCTCTGGGGTACCGCCGCGAACCCAGCACTCACCAGCCGGCCCTTCTCGAATGGATCCAGAACGAGCTCGATACCCGTGAGGAAGCCACCAAGCGTCAGCGCATTGCCGCCTGGCGCCGCCGTCTCCAGGACAACGCGCAAAACGTTTATCGTTGGTTGGCTCAAAACCGTCAAACCACCCCCCTTACTGGCATTCTCCACCAGGGTCGACCTCTTTCCAGAGACGCCTTTCACACTGCCACGGTGGACTTTTGGCGCCAAATTTGGCCCTCACACACTTCCGCAGCCGAGCATCAGCGGGCACAAAACATCACCCAGCTCACAGCCGCTTCCACTCCTTGGCCAGTCCCACCAGTTCCCCCAGCCCTCCAGCCGTTGACCGGCAATGACTTTCAACGTTCATTTCGCAAGATGAAACGAAAAGCTTCTGGTCTGGACGGCTGGACCGCCAACGAGTTATCTGAGCTTCCAATCTGCATTCTTGATCAGATTGCAAACTACTTCATGCTTTTTGAAGCCGGTGCGCCGTGGCCGCCGGCTCTCCTCTTGTGGAGGCAGACACACCTCCAAAAGCCGGGAAAACCTCCTGGCCTCCTCGACTCACTTCGCCCCATCAGCATTGGGTCCATCCTTTACCGAGCTTGGGCACATATTCGCTCTCAACACCTGTCTCAGTGGATCTGTGACACACTCCCGCAGCAACTCCACGGTGGTCTTCGCAACAAAGGCCTCCACACAGCTCTACCAACTGCCCTTATGAAGTTGGAAGCCCAACAGGCCTACTGCAGCACTCATAGAGGCCCCAACCCCTCCCTTCCATCTTTCCTAGGTGCGGCCGATCTGACTAAGGCCTTTGATAAATTGGCCTTTTGTTATCCTGCTCACGCATTGGGTCGCATGGGGTTCCCGGCCGGGCTCACTCATGCCCTCTCTCGAGCTTGGGAACACCAAACTCGATGGATTCAACTGGGTCGGCACGTGGGCTCAGCGGCTCAGATCAACATTGGCTCTCTTCCGCAAGGCGACCCTTTTAGCCCTTTGGCCTTGAATGTCTGCATCGCTGAAGCAATGCATCGACTCATCCAGCAATATCCTCAGTCGGATCACCTGGCCTATCTCGATGACCGAAGCTGGCTCACCACTTCTGCTGACCAGGCTGCCCGTATTGCTTTGACTTGGCAATCGGAAACTCGGCTCCTTGAAATGTCTGAGAACCGCTCCAAATTGGAATTCTCCACCACCCTTGGTTCTCGCGGCCGCCAGGCTTTGGTTCATGCTCTCCAAGCGCACAACTTCTCTGTCCTTGACTCCACGATCGTTGTCCGACCCAAGCTCCTTGGTTCTCGACTCACGTTGACACGTCAGCACGCTGCCGCTCAAAAAGAGGAAGCCGCCCGCCTTAACAAGGCTAAGCTCCTGGGCAAATGGGTCAGGGCTCTTCCACACTCGGTGGACGAAAAAGCCTTCTTCTTCAAGGCCACGGCGTTGGCCGTGGCCGCAGCCCCGACCTTTTCTCGCCTTCCTTCCCTGGATGAGCTGAAACCACTGCTTCGAGCTTTCTCTGATCTGAACCACCAAGCCTCGGCATCGCTTGGCCCGAATGGCCCGCTGTTCCGTCTATTTTCCGGCCACACAGCCGACGCCAAGTTCAGAGTGGGATCTCAAGTCTCCTCCCACATTTTAGATCAAGCTCGTCAAGACCAGAACCTCGCCTGGCACACAGCACAAACCCAGGGCCCGCTCGCCCTCACACGTCGATGGCTTGCCCGACAGGGCTGGTCCGTGGTAGCCCCATGGACCTTTGCACACAAAGCAGCACACATCACCTTGACTTGCCAAGGTTCGGTACGCCAACTGTGGCCCCAGCAATTTCAACATTTCACACATCACTTTCCTAGCACGAAGCCTGCACTACAACACATCCTCAGGGATGCATGGAGAGCACTCCAATGGCACAACTTTCGCACTTCGGGCACTTTGACAGCACACAGCTTTCAGCACATGGCTTGGCCCACCGTCCGAGCCCGCTGGCAGCAAGCACGCGCAGCTTTGAACCGGGCTCCGCAGCACCACAAGCCACACATGCTGGCAGCATTCCTGGGCCATTGGGTCTCTCAAGCCCGGTACGTTTGCTTGGGACGCCCCACACATCCGTGCGTCTTTTGTGGTGCTTCGCAAAGCGACCGACACCACGAGTGGCGCTGCACGGCACTCCGCACCACCAACACTGCCATCCCCGATGACTTGCTTTTTGATAAGCTTGCATGGCCGTGGGATGCGCGCACCGAAACCCTCACACACGAGCTGGCTTCAGTTCGTGCGGCCATCCTCCGAAGGAGGTACCCGGCCACCTGATTTACCTACCTTTCTCCGGCCTAGCCGCGAGGAGCTGCAGAAAGTCCGCGAACGACTACTGCAGTGTGGCAACCAACTACTACTACACCAGTTCGGGATAACAGGGATGGTGAATGATGGGCTCCTCACCGGTGATATCCATGGGCTTCATCTCTGGTGGGCATACTGCAATAGACCAAATCGGCTCGGTCATTGGGCTCCTTCTTGGGCTCCTGTTGAGTCGATTCTTCTTCGTCTCCTGCAATAGGCCGAGTCTGATGGGTTCCATCTCCGTCATTGATTCTTCTTCCCAGGTATGGATGTGGGCTCCTTCTTGGGCTTAACGGTGTCTTGGACGCGTCAAGCTGTATGGAAGCGTCAAGAAAGAGCACAGCGCGCGTCCTCGATGCACCACCCAAGCACTTCTGAAAGCTCGAAGTCTCGATTTGGTGCGACCCTATAACTCCCTAGGCCTCCAAGTACCTTCTGAGAAGGTGTTTGGGGTGGGTTTGGAGGGTCTAAATACCTTCTGAGGAGGTACTTGGAGGTGTAGGGACTGGGTGGTGCTTTCATGTGCTTTCAGATCTCTAAGCCCTTTGTAGCTTACTTGGGATGATTGGTCCCACTCACTACTATAACTAATACTTTTGTTCAAGTCGGTTGAAACCACACGGAGATAAGCACTTTTCAAGAAAGCATTGGTGTCGCCGTATGAACCACCCCTGCAAGGTCACAAGGTCTGGGGATCATGTGGAGCAACGCCCCCTGATTGATTCGTGTGGAGGAGGGCTGTGCAGAACATATGCAAGATAACATATCCTCAGGTTTTCAGGATCGTGTTTCAAGGATGTTGGTTTTTGAGGTCCAAGCAGTAGTTTATGGAAGCAAATGAGGAATGATGGAGGGGAAGGTCAATCCATCAGGTTTCTTTGAATGGGACGAGCTTGATGCTGAGAGTCATCAAGAAGAGTACTAGAAGGTTAATTATGGATAATTATGTTATATATATATATGTGTTTGATCGGGAGCTTGATGAAGCTGAGAAGATTCAAGAGAAGCATCAGAACATATCTCCATTTGTGGAAACTTGGCCAGAAGGTTCTTTTGGCCAGGAGGTGAATTTGTGGGGCAGAACTGCAGAACTAACAAATGGTTTCCTAACCTTTGGCCGTGTTATTTGTCTTCTAGGAACATACCATTATTCTCCAGTACACATAAACTGTTGAAATACATCTCCCTAAGGATCCAAGTACCTTCTCTTGGACCCTCAAAACCTACACGAGAGTGTCTCCAATCACCCCCTGAGAAGGTACTTGGATCCGTAGGGTCTATCTAATTCCTGGGATACTTTTAAACCTTGTCATGAAGCTCCACTGTTTGGACTACTGACAGTTGGACTGCAGTACAGCATATCGCCCATTCAATCCTACCGATTTCCATGGTCACTCAAGAACTCAGAGCCGGTGAAGTGACATTCGGTCCACATATCATACGTCTGCATAGTGGGCTGAGAGTAGATGGCACAAATGCCCAAGTTTGGTGGTTGATATGGACCCTCATCTTTGTCATCTTGGGGCCTTCCATCGAACCTCTGAAAGCGTTTCCAATTCTTCAAACATGCTCTTTGGACCCCCTTCACCACCTACCTTCACCTACCTACCTGCCACCCTCCTACCTGCCACCTCCCTTCACTTCCGGGGCCCACATCCCACAGACATGCAGCCACCCCACTGGCACCTCATCCGCCCACATGGCCAAAGGGTCCGATGCCGGACCTGCCGGAGCCTCGCCGATCCCACGAGCCGGAGCCGCCCCAGCTCGGGTCGGAGCCTGGGCGGCAGGGCTTTCGGGAGACGAGACTGAGGGACTTTTCGGGGTAAAGAGGAACCATTTAAAAGATGTAACATATAACATCCCTAGGGATCCGTTTTCGTACCGAACCTCAGGTACGGTGATGTGAGACCGACACTCTTATGTAGGTGCCACGAGGGTCCAGTCGTACCTTTTGAGAAGGTACTTGGATCCGTAGGGCATTTCTCCGAGAGTTTCGACTATGACTCATATGCCATGTTCTGGCCCAGGGCTAGATGTGCTCTCTTAAAGTGGGGTCCTATAAAATCCGCTAGCCGCTATACCTGGTTCAATCACTTCTTAATGTCATGACAACTGTAATTACTCAGCCTGTATTAAGGATGTTGGATTGGCATCAGGTCATGGTAGACGGCCGGAGGGAGGACGGCTCGGCTCGACTCCTTTCCCAACAGGGAGCTGTTTCACTCGGAGTGGACGAGCCCAGGGAGTTCTCCAACTGCACCTCCTCACCCACGGTCTGCTGAAGCGTTTGGACTGTGGGCCCCTCCCTGGGCTGCGTGCATTGGGTGCCGCGTGCATTGGGTGCTGCCGTGCACCGGGTGCTGAGGTCATAGTCCCTGGTCCACTCTTGGGAAACATCAGCTACGACCCAGGGTTTGAGATCCCTAGGGTACGACTGCTTTCGGTGCTTCGAGTGAAAGTTTGGAGGGTCCAGTCAGATCTTCTGGGGAGGTACGACTGGAGCACTAGGGATGGTCTTTTGGCTACACTCGGACGACGAAAGGATTACGGATCTTCCATGGAATGGGCCATCTGGGCCATGGGGAACTCACATAGACTATTGGTTGCTCTACGAAAAAAACAGGGGGGTGAACTCCACGCATAGTAAGTCACCAGATCTTGACAGTCTGGATTGAGAGTAGATGGCATAAATGTCCAAGTTTGGTGGTTGATATGGACCCCCATCTGTTCAGGACATCTTTTTCGGTCGCCATCGAACCTCTGAAACCACTGTAATAGTGGGGAGTAACTCCACTCAACAGTACTCTACTGGCAGAGAGTCCTAGTTCCATGACACTGCCAGACCAGGCCCAAGCATTGACCGGACCGAGCAACGGTGTAACACTGCTGGTAGCACTGCTGGTGCCTACACAGCGAACCCCCCTGCATGAGAGCTATGAACCCCCTACATTCTGGTGTCATCCCATTTCATCCCATTTCTATTTTTGGAGCTGGAGGTTGGACTTCAACATGACATTATTCCCTTTTGCAAACCGGTCAAAAGGAGAGAACACTGTTCAGCGGAATTCCAAAACATAGCGCTATAGCCAGTCCCCCCCCTTTTGGGGGACAACTGGTCACTATCCCAAACTTCAAAGCTTTCTTCGCATCTCTTCAGACAGCAGCCCCACCCAAAACCTCAACCATCTTCCATCCGCACGCTCCACTGGCGGCTGTGGGACCTGCTCTGACCAGCGATGGTGCGCGTGACCTGTCGGGGAGCCGCCAGCGGCGAGCTGTTGCTGGGCCCGATGGACCTGGACGCCTTGGAGCGCGTGGAGCAGTTGAAGCGGCGCCTGGAAGAACAGGTGGCCAAGGAGCATGGTGGTGTCTTGACACCAGATGGTAGGGGGGGAAGCAACTGACTGGACGTCCAGGAAGGTAGGGGGTGAAGCAACTGCTGTGAGTTCCATTTATTTCGCTACAAAGACCGGTTGTTGATGTGTTTGGGTGAGGGTAAATGTGGTGCTGGTAGAGCGGGGAATCACTTCCTTTCCAAAGACGCCAATGTTCAGTTGCAAAGCAATCTGGTCAATTGGAACTAGCAAGGACAAAGGGCCCCTTTGACGGACACCATTCAGAGTGACCTCATTGGAGTCTCTATCTAAGTGACTTTTTACAGACCTAAGTGACCTCAACCTGGCATATCAAAAGGTCACTTAGACTTTGAAGGTCCTGGCACGTCTAGACTAGAAAACGTTTCTTCTGTCTTGGACCGTGGTGTTGTTGAGCCCATCGGTTTCATTCACTCCCGACAGGGATCCAATTATTTGCCTTCTCCGAAGGTACGACTGGCCCCGTACACACCACCGTACCTGAGGTTCGGTACGAAAACGGATCCCTAGGGACTCTAAACCCTAGGGCCCGTAAGCCTATAGGGCCCCTTTGGTTCATGGATGTGTTCGGCTCGCCTCGAATGTCTTTCACTCTCGACATGGTTTCCCCATGCAGTGACATCGGCCATGCGGAGATGGGAGGAACATCCCCCGTTTCGGGGGTTTGCTATAAGCATGGGGCTCCAGTCGTACCTCAGAAGGTATGACTGGACCCTCCTGGCACCCACCTCAAACACCTTCTTAGAAGGCACTTGGAGCCCTAAGCATGGGGATGTTCCTCCCAGTTTGCCAGATTTTGCTTGGTTTGGACAACAAGTCTGTCTACCTTCTGGCACCCCACGTATTATGTGGAAGGGCTTAGAGGGGCGAGCTGTCAGACCGTTCGCAAGTGAGTGTGGGGACAGCAAGTCTGAATTTTTTTCTGGGGGCTTTGCCTCAAGTAGGGAGAAGATGTTCTAGTTCTAGTTTCCTTCCCAGTTTCTGCCGATTTCCTGGACAGCAAATGTGGGTTTTGGGTCCCCACGCTTGATGTTGATTGATCCCCTCGCATCGGGAAGATGGTTTTTCCGAGTTCCTGGAGAACAAATCGAAGTCTCAGGAGAGAAGAAGAAGACCTTCAGACTCTTACTCAAGGACTGAATGCTGGACAGCTGTGACTGGAGAATGTGACTGGAGGTTGACGGAGGTTGACCCAAATCTGCGGCCTTTGGAACATGTCCATTCACTTTTGATTCGGAGGAAGTAGCTTGGGAATTTCTCTGTAATGCCGCTGTGCTGAAGTAGCTTCGGGGAGCTGTTGGGCGAAGTAGCTTGGGAATATGAAGCAGAGATGCCCAAACCATAGCTGGCAGGTCTTTCCGAAACGGATTCCACAAATCAGGTGGTTTTTGGAGGGTGACATATTAAACCTTTGTGACCCACAGGCAACACGGTGACTCAATTTCAGCAGGGCCGCTTTTTCTCGGGAGGTGTTCAACGGCCAAGGTCTTCCAGGTCGGTATGACCACGAATTCACAAGAACAATGATCCCAGCTGACAACCCCAATAGCAAAGCGGCCGTCTCAGAGGCCTACTAAGGCCTACAAGAGCTATCGCTATTGGGGATCGACATGGAACGATTACTAACCAAAATCACTAGGAACTTAGACACACTTCAGAAATGCACTAGGATTTCACTTCCGAAACTTCACCATATGCAAAGGTACTGGACTCTTAAAAGAAAAGGATCTCCCAGAATTGGTTGATCTTCTTGGCAGAAACTTGGTTTGTCAACTGTGTTTTGAATTTGCTGACCAGCCTCCTCCAAACTGCTTGACACATCTTCCAGCTGCTGATGCTGCTGTTTCAATGAACATGGCTTTGTAGCCACCACATCCCGTCTCTCACTGGGCGAACACAGCACGTGTCATCCAAGGTCTTTTCCTGCAAGCGTCAGAACACGAAACATAGAGCCTTGATAATGTAGACTCTTAATTTCATAAACCCATATTATAAAGAGCTGTCTCGATTCACTTAGGGGAGGTTATTAATCAATAGTTCTATGAATAGTTAATTACATTAACTGACCAACCTCCACAATCCCTGGCTCAACTTAATCTTTGCGGTGGCTGAATTGTAATCATGTAACCTTCGGGGTACACTGACCGACCTCAACTTTGGATTCGACAATGGATTTTAGACTGTGAGGGTTTGGCCGTGGCCCAAAATCCCCGTAGTGTTTTGTTTGGAGCATGTCGATTTAAACCGTTCCTCCTTTACCAGTGTGTATAGACCCCCTGACTATGTTCCTTCCAATAATCACCCGAACTGGGTGGTTTTTGGATTAATTACATCAGTTCAGTTCATTTTTGCTTGTGCTGGGAGATTCCTGCTCCACCCCTGCTCCACTCTCCGGTGAATCCCTTGGCAAATGGCACACACAGCAGCGAGGAAGCAGCCCTTTCGCCTGACATGATGCTGGGGGAGTTAGGTGGCTTGGAATGGTCCTGGGACGGTCAGAACGCATTCGGGTCTCATTCTATTTCTTGCTGCAGGTATCAGTTCCAAGAATCTGCAGGAGGCTTCTCAAATGGTATGTATTAAGTCCAGCTTATGTGGATTTGGTCTTTTGGGGTAGTTTATCCCACGATGCTCATGTGTTGCATATCGGTCTTGCAGGTTCCAAGGTCCGCAGGGGTGGGATTTGCAGCTTCAAACAATACCACATGCCTTTACTGTATATAAGCCATGCCTTCAAACATGTAGGTGTATTGACAATAGTGGACATAGATTCTGAAAGATACCCACCAGCACCACCCTGTCTGTTTGTATCTGTTTGTAAAAAAAGAAATACGCCGACTGATCTTCCGCCAGGATATCCAGACCACAGATGGCCTTTTGTACGGCCTCGGTTGGTTGATTCCAAGTGTACAACCCAAGCCACAGGCCGGTGGTACCTGGCACCCTTCCCGTGAACGGCACTCTTCTGACCTTAAGAGTTCTTGGGGGGACCTTCACCATCCGCGTTCCGCTGGAACTCGCTGTTCGTCGGCGACCGGTTTGACCGGGACCATCGTCGTCGGTCGCGACGGCTGGGGGTGGGTCGGACTGAGAAATGGAGCCTCCAGTCAGAACATGAGACATGACCTGAAGATGACCTACAAGGATCTTACTACACCCATTGGTCCGAGCTACGAAGAACGTTCTTTCCGAACGGCGGCGACGAAGCACCCGCCGTTGCCTCCACGACCGCCGTGGCCTGGGCCCAAGACCCGAGGGGAAGAGGAGCTTTGCTTCTCGGCCATCGCCAATCCCAGCTGTGTGGGGCAACTGCAGATCCTGAGCAGAGAGCGGAAGGAGTCGCAAGTGTTTGTTTTTTGAAAGGACCAGTGGTTTGGAAGAGGTTTTCAGTGACATGC